GAGAAAAGAATGTATTGCTTCTAGAAGCGAACAAGTAAGTTGATATTTTCTCATTCATCTGGAACAATGTCCTGATTATAATTTAGCTTTTTGTTCATTTAGACCGGTGGAGGATTGTAATGCTGCCAACAACATGGTGTCACTTCTTAAAAGGCAGCAGAGTTTATTATTGACTCCACCAGTCAAAGATGACAACCTCACAGTTTGTTTGGAACATTTCGGATTCAGGGCTGAGCAATATTTAAGCCCTATTGATGCTTTTGAGTCCCGTTAGTCTTGAATTTTTGTTGCCTCCTTGAAAAAGTGAAAGCTATTTTTTCCTAAACCAAACCAAACGGTACCTTGATACAAACATTTAGAGCCAAGTAAGGCAAAAGATTGACAGAGGCACTCAGGGATCAGACCAACATTTACAAGAAGACGAGAAATATGGAACATTGGTGAGTCTTTATATTACATCAATAATACAAAGGAAGTAGTGTACCGGCTAAGTTGAGGAAACTCCAAACAATCACCATCACTTACAAAGTTCATACACCACGAAGCTAACTTTCCTCAATCTGCCAATCTCCTATGCCATCATCTACGTTCTCAATTTCTGCTGCAGATAACGCTGTTCAAAACATAGTAAAAACAGCTACGATAATTTACGCATTCAAGCATTTTATTACAGTCACAGTTCCAACCATGTGAAGTAGAAGTTGCATTGTAGAAAATAGCATAATAGGAATGCACAAACACCTCAAAATGTATAACGGGGAATTGAAACTGTTACATGTTGGATGTGGGAAGGCCTAATGAACATTTCTATCATTAGCAGTCATGTTGAAATCATTACTCTAGGTCACGTTTTATCACGCTTTCATATTACGATCTTAAAAAATAAATGGACTGCTTTCTTTTGAGAGAAAATGCTTCTACACCTTTGAATTTGTTGCTTTACAACCATTGCCTCCTGCATGTCTGCGGCTTAAACAATCATTCATTCAAAAGAATGAAATAAGAGGCTGTTGAAACTGCCAGGCTGTGCCATATGGTGGTGTATTTTGAACAATTGTTTCATGTTGGACTCGGATGAGAAGCATGTGCAATAAGAAAAAAAGAAACCCCTTTATTCCCAGAATGAAGGTCTTCTTCCAAATTGTCCGTCCCCATCTCCAAACTCTGGAGATGGGATTGTTTGTTGGCCGAGGTAAATTGATATTAAACATGTACAAGGGCAATGGTTTTATTCTTGCAATTGCCTTTTTTTTTTTTGGGGACAAAACCAAAGCATTGATCAGAGTATGTTGTCACGGTTCATTCGCCCACACAATAACCTTGATGTTTTTTGCTGTAATTGATTTTACTTTTCATTTTTTTAGAGCAAGGACATAGTGTCCAAACTGAGTTGCGAGTGGAGGGCTGGGGCCTGAAAAGCCGAAAAACTGCAAAAAAGATTAGAAATCAATTGAACAATGAAGTTTATTACAATTGAAGTAAATTAAATATTGACTGATTGAGTTTTTTGGTGGAAAGGGTGAAGAACTATTGTTTTACACATAATAAACGTGCTGTTTTGTGCTCATCAGAATTTTGTTCTAATTTCATGTTTTGTTTTGTTTTGGTATTTCTATTAAACATTTAAAAGGTACTCTGATATTGTTTCCCAAACTACGTTTAAGGAAAAGTAAGAAGAGGATTTCGTTTCGAAAGAGCAAATGAAAATAGTGGTTTTGGCCAACAAAGTTTAATTAACGAGATTTGTTTAGTTTTTGCCACATAAGCATCAATCTCAGCATTCTATCCCAGGAATCCAAACATCAATCCGGTTGATCGCTGCTTTTCTGCGAGCAACTGAGCGACAATAAAAACGTATAAAAGAAAAACGTAAATAAGAAACCCCGGTCCGGGCTGTGTCCCAGTTTCTGCTTTTATCTCAGCTTCTCCGCACACATAAATGATGCTCCTACTGTTCCTGTCTGACAACTGGATGCTCAAACCAAAGGGTACCAAGCTGCGTTTGCCTGGTGACATGCTACTTCCTGTAGGGATTCGCAAACATGGCTAATACCGTGCATGCGAGGAGGCAAACAAAGAGCTTCTGGCGTACATGCGGGCATAACCGAAACGGGCCAGTGGTCCCTCGCATATGGTGTCTCCGCAAATCACAGTTGTTTTCCTTTTCCTTTTGTTCTGCTCAGGGCAGTCTAAACAAAGCAATCTTCTCAGTCCTGTGAATTTCACAGAGGATTTATTCGTGCAAGTTACATATTAATTCCAACAAGAGCAAAAGCTCGCAGCTCTTTCCCCAAATCCTCTCTGCATCAAATGTCAAACTGACTCAATCGAAGGAGTTTTACATCCATTTTTTTCTTTTTTTGCTTCTTGTACATGCACGGTTATGGTAATTAATGCCGAACAAGTTTAGTCATCAATTAAATGATCCTCATGTGCCGAAAGTCAGCAAGAAAACGAAGGAAAGCGAAGGCTTCAACACTATTTTCTGCAGGCTGACACAAAGCTGTTACCCAACTAGGTGTAAATGAAAAATGTTTCACCTCCATGTTGTAAAAAAAAAAAAAAAAAGGTGGATGATTGCGTTGCCTCTGGTGCCGGCGAGAAGACACAGATTCTCACCAGCTCCGACTAAGAGTGTGAAACAATGGAAATGTTGTGTTTATTAGCCACAAAGCTTGGCCTGAAAAGAAATTATTTTCAAAGAGTTCCTCAAAAAACACTTTGGGATGAGTTTGGAATTACATCAGGTTTCTTACATAAAAAAAATATGTATATTTTTGGCTCATTAATTTCATTTCATTTTATGTTATTTACACTCAGCTGACTTTTAAAGTCCTGCATTCCTTCATCATGAAGGTTTCCTTGGTAACTGCCCTACTTTTTTACTTGATGAAAGCCTGTGAAAAAAAAGTGGAAATGTGGTAGACACTCTAAGGGTAACAACCCCAACACAACACTTTGTAACCCTCCAACATAGAGTTTACCACATGTAAAATCGGTAACTGCACATTTTCTAACAGTTTTATCAAATTTGTTGAAATTCCATAATGATTTGACATTTTGGAAGAAACATTTAAAAGTCCCATATAGTCAATACAAAGTATTTAAAGGGGTAGAGGAGCCACTTGGCTCTTTGGGCTGCTAAATATAGTTATTATTATACTTAGAACTAACCCAAAACTTAACATTAAAACGTTGTGTTCAATGGCAAAAAAGGCTGGTGCCGTGTAAACATTTGGCTTTTTAACTGTATAAGCGTATTGAAAATTAACAGGCACACAGACACAAAAAAAAAACACCAGACCTTTTTCTCCCCAGGCACAGGCCCAATCCATCCTGAGACTGGGAATTGTTCTTTTTCCTCCCGAAAAAGCGAGTGGCCCTGATATAGTGGTCTCATCGTTCACCGCCGCTTCACCGCATGAGACCAAACTAATGATCAAAACACTGAGCTGCTCAAAATTCATCTCTCACCCCTCACTGATAGATGGGAACTGATGGGAGGGGGAAAAAAGTACCCGTAACTGTGTTTTTGTGAGCCTACGCTTTTGAGATATGTAGGTAGATAGAGTTAAATAAAAGGGAAAATCCAAATGTACTTGCCTAATGCATCTTGACATGATTTTTGAAAAAAAGTGGGTTGCTAATGGAGCATTCAGATCAGTATTAACGCAATACCAAAAAAGGGCCAATATCAGCAGGGACATTTCAGCCGGAGACCATTTCCAAATGATTTGGATTTGATCAATCTCCACTGTGAGGCACCATTCGCGGTCAGTAAAAAAAATCTGAGTCTGCCTGAGGCCAGACAAGAAAACACAGGACAGCCTGGATTGAACATGGAGCAATTACACTAAGGGAACCGAGAAGTTTAAATACTGTAGGGAGAGGGACCCGTGAGTGACTGCATCTGAGGATAATGAACCCAGGTAAAGGCTGATGATGAGAGAGCAGGCGGGAACTGATGAAACTGTTTACAAAGACCCAAAACACAGGGAAAAAATGGCCCAAAAAAAACAAGCCCATAAGGACAGGGTTGTCTTTCATGTGGCTTCTGGAATGACGTGTCCTGAGGTTCTGATATAATTTATAGAAAACTATAACTTTTTATTTTTTTTTATTTTTTTTTTATTATTATTTTATTTTATTTTTTTATATATTTTTTTATATGTATTTATTTTTATTTTTATTATTATTATTTTTATTTTATATATATATTTATTTATTTTTTAAATAAAAACTATAACTTTAAGATGTCGCTGCCAAGGTGACCGTGCATGCATGAGAGAATTTACTTACAATCACAGACGGCTTAGTTTTTGTTTGATAAGTAGCTGACCGGTGTAAAACAGCGTGCGTATTTCCCTCCTGAGGCTGTACATAACTGACACTATGGACGAATTTTTTTTCCGTCATCTTGAAAGTTCAAACCTTCCATTTGAAGGATGGTTTTCTTTCTCTTTACGGTTGAAGACGCAGGCATACAATCTCTGCATTTGACACATGTCAACATGTGTTTTCCTGAGTCTGAGTTAGACCGAGGTGATGTATTCCGCAGCTGGATGGACGGCTCACTTTGCACTCCTTCCTCTCACACATAATGGTAGAGCAGTTCATAAATAAAATAAAAAAAGGAAGTGGCACGATGTGGGGCTTTTGTGTGCGAATTGAAAGCTTTTGGGCAGTAGTGGACACACTTTCCATTTCTATTTTCTCTCCTGCTTTTTTTTTTTCCCATTTCGATCGTCTGTACTTCTGCCACTATGCAACGACGGTCAGTGAGATTAGCCACCGAGGATCCCATCTGTTATCTTTTCGACTCATTTGTTTACTCATTGCTTCGCGGGGATTCCCTAACCGTGGGACTGGGTCTTGGCTGTGGGGTCAACTACTTAGCTTAATGACTCACTGCGTTTACAACTGAATAAGTTAGCTGAATGCAGATTCCTGTGATAGGAAAAAAAATAAAGCATAAAAAAAAGGGGGAAAAAGGCAGAAAGGCCTTTAATGGAGTTGCAATGCAAAAATCCCATCTGGTCGGGTCAAATAACTCCTCGCTACCCCCGGGTTCTACTGTGCATTTATGCAGAACTAACAAGCGCCAATTTAACCGAAACAGCTTGACAGGACTAAACAGTCAGCTTGTGATTGCTATCCGCGTGAAAATGGCTGTATGCATAGCTACATCTCAGACCAACAGGTAGCAAAGTGAGGCAAAGCTTACATCAAGTTTCTGACGGCGCGGGGCCCTGCCGGGGACGTTCACAGTCAGGAAAACTCATCAGAAATCTGCTGCTTTCCATCGCGCTGTTCAGGGCCGGACTGGAAATTATTACTTTTTTGTTGATTTCCAAAGGCTTCATCCCCGCCTGGAAGCCTTCGTCCCCTTTTTACGGTAACTCTGGCACACAGAAAACAAATGGAAACTGTCATTTATCTACAATGTTATGTTGTACACTGGAAGCTTTAGATATTTTTAGTGCATAAGGATTGATTATATACAGTATCATATACAGTATTGCATGATAAAAAATGCTAAACATCATGTGGAAAGCAAGTCGATTTTCATTGTGTGGACTCTGTATTCTGAAACATCTTGTTATACATTCATTAATTAGGACAAACGCCGACGGGTTTCCCGCTTTGTTTTTTTTTCCCCTTTTGTAATTTCTCGGGATCCTGTGTGTTCCCGCTCCTCAAGAGTTGCCAATTATTTCCCTGGGAAATGTCAGCGTCTGGCCAAAAAGTGAGCAGCCTCTCCATCCGAGCTGTGTTGGTCTCAGATCTTGTTATTAAGCGCTGACAGGATGTCATGTAGCCATTTCTCAAAGACCTCCACTTTCACCACATCCTACAGCACAGGAGGCAATAGAGGATTAAGCTTGTTGAATGCACCCGGCTGAGCACATAAAAAAATGCAAACTGGATCCTCCTGTTCTGCCTCAAAGCCTATAACGTGGAAATCAGACGTGCATACTGTGAATATGTTTTGGGCGTGGTCCAATTAACCAAAATCAACCATTATATTTTCTTCTTTTTATATGTGTCGCATATCTGTAAGATGTTTGGGCAAAGCCCTTGAGCTCCGATGGAGTGAAACAAAGCTTTAGAATCATCTCTTTTCTGGTGATATGACTGATTCGCAGAAGCTGGACTGAATAGGAATGAGAAGAGTTTTCTGTTATCTCTCCGTTTGTTGTCAACAGATAAAATACACAATAGTTTCGGGCGACTCCATGCCGCCGTATTCGTTACAGTCAATTCATGTTCCGGCACGCAGTCTCTGATTCAGGCTCACTGGGCGCCAGGAATAAAATAATAAGCCAACACATCTGCCTCACGATTGAAAAACAAAATCTCCTCTAAGTTTCGACTCCGAATAGCAATACCATGCGTTCAGATCGGAGGCCGTCAGAACATTAGATGTGATCAGAAAGTGAGAAAGAAAGTAGCTCTTGTGTCAAAAGTAAGGCTTTATGTTTCAGAATAGAAATGTTTTTTTTCAAAAATCGTCAGATCCTCACCAGGCCTTAAATCACAGAAATGCAACCTCAGGTGAAAAGGACACGTCGCGAATTACACAGGGCCAGTGTTTATTTTACAAAAACAAATATAAAATACGCAGGCGGTGAGTTAAACTGTGAGTGGAATCATCTTTAGCAGAAATATCTTCAAGTGATTGTTTACACAGCGTTATCAGTCTCCCATAGTATTGTGTGAGAGTTTTGACCACACTCCTCATTACTGTGTTTTTCTTTGTCTTCAACCCTGAAATCTGAAATCCAGGACTTGAATTATAAGATGACCTCTTATATGGCATCCAGTAAACACTCCCCTAAATGCTAGCCATCGAAAAAACTCAAAGCTTCAGACGTGCCAGATTCAAGTACCTTTGATAAACAGCAAAAAAGACAGAGGCGTCTACTTAGTTTTTTTTCCTATACAGCCTGTTTTTTGGCTCATTTTGTTCAACTCTTAAATGACACCATTGGTTTACAGCTCCAATTGAAGTTCTTTTTTTTATTTTCCCACATGATAGCATGTCTTCTGAATCAGTTTAACCCAACCAGAAAAACTCAAGCGCGCTACAAGAGGGGATTTGTTGGCAAATTGTATACCCAGAGGCACATTTTAAATCAAAAGCCTGCCTGATTCTTAATTAAACCGATAGAATGGAGCAGCAGTGACAGCTCCGTGGTGCTTCGCCTCAGTGAAACTCCACAGCCCCTAAAGTTTCTTTTGAGTAATGATTAATGCATCCAATTTCTGTGATCTGTATTGAGTGGAGCATCATGGGTAATTAAACGATGGTCTACAGAGCACTGACTGCTCTCAGAAAATGACAGGGCCGTAATTATCATGAGGCTTGGTTACCTCCCGGTTCAAACACTAATCGTGTATCAATAACTGAGCTTTTCTCTTTCTTTTTTTTTTTTCCATGTGTAACCAAGCAAAACCCCAAACTGTGCAACGAGTTCAAAGCGAGCCAGTGTTCAGCCTTTTTTTTTTTTCGGATGGGAAAAAAAGAAACAAAGACATATCCCCATTAGAGGATCTTACTCAGCACACACTGATTTATTGTTTAATTTAACAGGTCAATATAAAGATATATGTAAAACCAACACTGGGGATAACCGTCTGCGGTGGCAATCAATCAAAAGACAATAAGAGCCAATGACAGCCCCCCCCCCCCCTCTCATTTCTGCTGTGCATATTTTTTTTATGAAAAAAAAAAAGAAGAAGAAGAAGAAAAAAAAACATTAGGCTCGCAGGCCCCTCGATTAAAAACGGATTTGCTCACTGGTCACCGACAGGCTTTGTTTCAAAACACAACACTGCACCCTCAAACCCACAAAAAAAAAAGAAATAAAACAAAATCACACGATTTAAAAGAACACGGAACCGAAAAAAAAAAAACTGAAGCTTTTCTTTTTGCTGCAAATGAAATCTACTTTTATCTTATTTTTTTTTTTTTTTGCCTTCTCCAAGATAAATAGGCTAATAATAAAGAAAGATGCCCAGCCCAGTGTGGCTGACATTTTAGGCAGTCCTTCTGGAGCTGTAAAGATGCCCGCTTGATGGATACCGGAGCTCTACAGACAACGGGGTGACAAAAATGAGGAATGCTTATGGACGCTGTGGCGGATTAAAAAAAAAGAAAAAGAAAAAAAAAAAAGAAATACAGAGCGGCGGAGGCTGGTGCTGAAGGACGGTAACAGTGCTACAGTACAGAGGAGGGGGGAAACGACAGTGGTGAGGCAGAAGAGAGGTGCATTCTGGGACGGTTGGCTCACTCGCTTTTCAGAAGGCCGGTCTGTGGAGGATTTCCCCGGAGGCCAGTCTGCGCTTCAGCTCCCTCCACAGCAGATCCCGCTCCCTCTGGGCGCCCCTCATGAAGCCGCGGTTCTCCTGCGCCCGGCGGGACAGGTAGGGCATCACCTCGCCCACGGGGCCGTAGGGGACGTACTTGTAGACGGGGAAACCCGCCTGCCCTGAGGGTCAAAGAGACAACTGGTGTCTTTGTGTCATGGCACCAATAAAACAGCACTATCCTCTTTTTTTCATCCTTTTTTTTTCATTTCTTTAGTTGCGTTTTGGGCAGCTCTCCTTTGCAGGAAAAAAACTACTACTACTACTGTCTACTTATAAACTATCTACTTTGATTATTTACATTTTAGATAAAAAGTCAGGCGTTTTTGAAGGGCCTTCCCTCTCTAGATAAACCTAATCAATTACAACCAAGGCGTCAAACTCAATTCAATTCAATTCAATTTTATTTATATAGCGCCACATCCCAACAACAGTTGTCTCACAGCGCTTTCCAAACAGAGCAGGTCAGACCCTACTCTGAAGTTAATTACAGAAACCCAACAATCCCAATTAAACTATGGTGTTATATGACAAAACCTGCATTGCTTGAACTGAAATAAATAAATAGAATAATAAAAAAATTAATATGGTATTTGCGAGGCACTAAAAGAATAACAAATCGTCCAGATCTCGAGTCCACTTTCTTGTTTTTGGACTAGAAGACTGCCTGCCGCCTCTCTGCGTATCTCCATTTGAGTGACAAAGTGGTGAGGGGCCTACGGCCGCTCTTCGTTAACTCATTGGCTGCCAAAGACGTCTTTAGACGTCTTTTATGTTTTTCAACATGAGTGGCTTGGGGGACGATCGGCTGAAGTTTTTCCGTAAATATCGGCTTCTAGACAGAGTATGTAGTAACAAATTTACCCTCTAGGTGGCAGTGCCACTTTTGATGGGAGATGAGCATAGATTGTAGGCAAATAAAAAAAACTGCAATGGTTAGCCATGCGAAAAATGGCGCCGGTGAGACGCAAGTCAAGGAAGAACGGAATAAGGTTGAAATAAAAAAAATTTTCCGAATGAAAGAAGAGAGTCTACTCTTTCTTTTGGTGCGTTCGGTGTTTACATAGTCATAGCACAAACTATTCTGTGGTTCTTGAAAAATCAGTCAAAATGCTCAAAAATCTCTGGCAGTGTGGGACTCTCTGTTCTGAAAATGGATGCCAGTCAATGAGTTAAGAGAGCCGGTCGATAGCGGGGTGCCTCATGGGGCGCAGACTCGCCCGCCAGATCTGTGGAGCGCACGCCGGGAAACCGAGAGCTCTCCTGAGACGAAGGGGGTCAGCTGAGACCGGACCGCAATCTCCTAAACCAGGAGAGGCCGGTGCCCGCTGACGGTGTAATCGTGTTTTGGGGCGCGTTTGCTCACCCAGTGGGAAGCTGATCTGATCGCACATGCCCAGCAGCTGGCCGAAGTACACTCTGTTCTCCGCCGGCGAGAGGCCCAGCTCGCTCATTCTGAAAGAAGCCAGACGGGCGTACCGGGGCGTGAGAGGGATGTGCGAGCCAGTGAACCGTCAACGCTCACTACCGCCGTCTCGACAAAAGCTTGGAGGGTTACCTTTTCAAAGTGTGCTTCACCGTGTCCTCGTTGTGGGAGGCGACCATGACGCTGGCCTTTCCGCTGAGCGCAATCTCGTCCAGCACGTGGTCCAGGCACCTTGCGGACGCATGGAGGAAGAAGTTATCAATGTGTTCATTTGATATCTCACTCGAATGCCTCCTAGATTTAAGCCTCTTTTTTGTTTTGTTTTTCCTCGTTATTACTGATCCAATAAGTTCTTCATGTTGGAGTGGTAAATCCCGCTCTGCTCGGCTCACTAACCCTAACCCTAACCCTAACCCAGTGAGAAACGTGTGGCTTTATTAGATGGACACCGTTTCCTCCTCGTCTGTGTTCAAATCGGGAGCCACCGTGTCTTAATACGTACTCCATCAATACGTTTCTTTGACTTTGCGATGATCAAAAGCACAACGTAGGGATTGGCTAATTAAACCTTATCAAAATCAGATCCTGATCAAATGGGGGACACCCATTTGAAACGCATCCCAAGAGATTACAACAGTGTAATATGGCATTTTACTTAGGCTATTAAACTATTTAACTATTTATTTTGAGCATCTGCTAGAAGCAAATCGGTGTAAAATAAACAATAGGCTAGTTCCTCTCTCAACAACCTCCCATGGCAGCTTTGAATTTGAAAGACGCCTGAATCTCATCTGAACACTGTCGTGTGACACAAAGCTTTGGCAGATAATCGAAGAATAAGGGGGAACGAGAGCTTGGCTGAGAGAGAACTTCCTCAACGGGGCGAGAGATTGTGCCAGACGTCCACAAATAATAAACCAAAAACATCCCTCTTACGTCCTACCTGTGATACATCCTGCTGGTGGACTCGTAGTCGGGGTTGATGGGGTCCTCGTATCCTCTGTCTCTGGCCCTCTGCCTCTCCTGATGCATGTAGGCCCCGCGCACAAGCTTGGCGGCGAAATGCCAACCCTCCCGTTTAGAAAGCTCCACATCCACAGTTACACCGTCGTAAGTCTCCTGCGGAACGAAAACCGAAGATCACGCGTTCATAAAAATACAGTCGCCCAAGGATTGAGAGGAGTGGTTTTATTTCCAGTTCCATGGAGCACCGCTAGATGGTAGAGACAAAAGTAGTGTGATACAGAGTAGTAGTGGCACATACCGGCATGGGTCATGACTGCCTTTAAACATGAGTCGATAGTCATTAAAGCACAGTCTTAATAAATAAGCTGCTTAAACTAAACAAAACATCTGACCCAGACCTTGAGGTAACACTGGTAGGTGTTGAAAATGACCGGCTTGTCCTTGTTGTAGACCCTCTGCATCTCCAAAGTCAGCCTGCTGATGGCCGGCTGGAAATAGGTCTGCTCGGCGTCCACCATCAAGCGAACGCCGTTTTCCAGGGCATGCTGGGACACAAAAAGCTCTCGTTAGCCTGTGGCTGATTTGAAGATGGTCGAATTCAATGGAAAAGGCTTGCTCGCTTAAACGCAAGTGTATTGTAGAAGCGTTAGAATTGGGTGAAGTCAAACAAAAAAGGTAATGAATAAACATTAAAAAAGGTGTTTTGCCCATTGAGATTGATGTGAGATTACCTTTGCCAAGACGTCTAGACGTTGTAAGATCCTCTGCATTTGTTTCTCCTCCTCTATGGAGAACTTTAGCATCAGAGGCTCCAGCTCAGCCAGCTGGGGCGGCAACAACGAGACAGTGAACGCACCACAAAAAATATAAACCAAGAGGCACGGCATGCTGCGGACCAGTGTTTTGAAAATATCTTGGCTTGTTGTTTTTTTTATTGGTTGTTCTCTCTTTATGTATGTTATTAACATGTGGAATAAAGAAAACCCTCAGCGTTGTTCATCGGTGGTTCTAACGTTGTGGCTGGTTCTAAATGCATCACTCTGCCACTTTGAATTTCACAGCCAGAATCTCCATTAACCAATGTTTGAAACAAATCTGAAATTTTGAGTGTTTTAATGATAGGCGGGGATAGAAAATTGGCTCCTAATCAAATCATAATAATCACAAGAATAAAGAGAAGATTTTTTTCCAATTAAAGAGATTTAATTGGTTTGGGAACCAATAGAAGATTTTTTCTTGTATTAGTTCCCAAACGGGTGCTCGGGCTGTTTAATTGCTGAGTATCCATTAAATGCCTCAGAATGACTCCGAACAAAGCTGAATTGAAATGAAGTGGTTACAGAGCTCCAATCTGAAATGACATATTAGCTTTTTGTTCATATTCAAATGCTCAGCGGTTGCTTGTCAAATGGCCTCACAGAGCACATCATTTCAACAAAATGTGGCTGAAATGAGCTGCTGTAGAGAGCAAGAACAGGCAGCCTGTTGTAAATTGCACACTCACTTATTGCGAATTAGCACAAAGTTAATCATTCCTTTTGAATTTGAATTGATATAATCCATTCAGTTTTCTTTTATGTTTTTGGTACATTTTCTTCTCTTTTTTTTTTACTGACCTCTACATTTGGAACAACAAGCAGATCTGGCACGTTTGCTCTGTCATCTATGAGACTGTTCCAGTCAAGCATGTCAATGTATCTGTTGGAAGTAAAAAACAATTAATTAATTTAAAAAAACACAATACTATGAAAACTCAAATTTTACTGGAATCTTGGCTTGTTTTACTTTCTACCTTCTGTTATTTAATAGGGACACCGTTTGTCATTAGATTGTTTGCACATCATTTCATCATATATTCCTGATGTACCCGCTGATTTATTTATTTGAGATTTGTATCGGCGGTGAGAGTTCGAGCTTACCCTGAAGAGTCTTTTCTCTTTCCATTAAACCAGCCGCAGAAGTCCCCTTTTGCACCCAGCTTGGTCAAAAAGTCCTGCAACGATATGAGGATCGAACATGTCGGTTCTCTATTCAAAGTGCATCTTCAAAGATATTCTGAAACTGTTCAAACATATATATAAGCATCAATGGTCAACAGAAAACATCTAGTGACTGTTTATGGTGTGAAATGTATCTGATGATTGATTGAGGGCTTCTGAAAACGTGCTCAGCATTTTTATTTATCTATTTTTTCAAAAATCTGGAATTTGTAAGGAATAACTGGGCTTTTGCTTCTGGGTCTCAAGCATTTGCTGCCACAAAACCCAAGTCTCATTCATTACAGTCATCTATTTCCAAAGTTTTTCCGTTCAGCCGATTGACCAGGATAGTACCTGAAGGAGAGAGGAAACAGATAACTTATCTGGGAGTACTTCAATCATCAGTCTGGACTGAGAATGAATGTCATCATGCGGTGCAAGGAAAGCTGAGCTAACTCCGGCTTAAAATGCCATTTGGTACCACTAGTGCCAAAAATGGCACAGAGTGCTATGACCACAAAGAATAAAGCACAAGAGGACAAGATGGAAAAAAATATATAAAAATAGAACTGAGTCTCCCTTTTGACTGGGCACTAGTACCGTGTGAAACATGGAGGCGGGGAGGCGAGTCGTGGTCCCCTGTGTGGGAACCTCTGTGGCCTCTTAAAGTTTAGAAAAAGACGCGTTGGCAATGTGACTCATTCATTTTAAGGTGAAGCGTAATGAAACGTCTGAAAACTGCATTTATGCTTATTGAAGTGTGCCTGTAGTTAGGGGAAATCCTCAAAATGAGCAGCTCTGTTTTCTATTAATAAGTCATTTGATGATTCGTTGGGTGTCTGCAACTGATCCAGAGGATTTCATCAGTTAGCCTCATTAAGGTGATCGAGGAGAAAGATACAGAGTCTATTAAAGCTTAATGTCACGGAGAGACAAATTGCCTTGACTGAATCATGCCGCCTGACACGTCTGACACGGCTCCGTATTTTAACAGTGGCGCATCCATCCACACATCCGTCCAGCCTTTGCTCTGCGCTCAGGGGGAGGGAGGTGTGATGGTGAGAAAACTCTGATGAAATCCGGAGAAGTGTCGGATTTTACCGGGAACGGCTGTGGAACACTCGCCCGGTGTTGTGTTTTAGCTCACGCTTCCCGTGAACTAGTTCAAAGTTCGGGTAAAAAATTATGCACAGTTCTCCTCCTTAATCCATCATCTGGTCGCCAAATTCCAGCTCATCTCAGGTTTTTTTTTTAGGTTACTTGAGCCTTTATAACATAAATCAATGATACTATTAGATGCTCTTACAAAAGATGAATATGCATGTAGAGCAGATGTGGAGTCCATTATTAATCTGGCAACCCCCCCCCCCCCAGAGGCTGCAGACAGTGGGATCCGTGTTGTTTGGGTCTGATTATCAACGACCTGCAAATATTGGAAATATTTGGAAATAATTTGCTGATAAATGTCTTGATTTTTGTAGAGAAACTATTGTAGACACTACATAAGTAATCCTGAGAGGACGAGGTGTCTGCAGCTTCTCTGCTTCCAGCTTTTGTTCCACAATTCTTCCATCAGAAGCTCAGCCACTGACTTTAAATAATTTCCCTCTGGGATTATTAAAGTATTTCTGATTCTGATTCTGATTCTGACTGGCCTAAAAGTCACAAGAATGGAATGACGGGATCGTCTAATTCTCTAAAAATTAACAAAACAAACACTAATCTCAGGGTTTGATTCCTACTCTTCTCTTGAAGTTTTGACTCTTCGGTTCAGACTGGGACACTATGAGCAGTGGTTGGGGGGGGGGGGAAGAAGTCCCAGAGGCTGCAAGAATCAGATCCGATTTTTTTCACATTCAAAACAAGTCGGCACTGTGGATCTCCGATTCAATTTTTTCACATCAGGTTTTCTTTCAGAGATCTTGATACCCTCGCGTTTCGTTTGAATGCCTCAAGTCAGAGCTGAGGGGGAGAGAAGCCCTACCTGCAGCTGCGTCAGCTCCAGCCTCTGCTCTAAGGTCTCCAGGCCCTCTTTCCCCTGCTGCGATGCCAGAAATGTGAAAAACCGCTGCCATTTCATCAGGACCTCTGAGAACTGAAGCTTTCAGAGAAGATGAGATCAAGTGACAAAAGTTTCAGGATCTCAGTCTACAGCATCCTTTCTGCTATAGAGTGAGTTAGATTGTCGTGCTGAGCTTCTAATCATCCCCTACCCAGAACCTACCAGAAACTGGGGTCGTCCCAGTGCGGTCATTTTGATGGCGGAAAATCCGTCCATCGAGCCCCCGCCTGTAAGGAACGCATTATTTGATAAGGATGTACAGTGAAGGCAAATAGCGGATAAGGATGAAAACAAAAGCAAAACAAAACAACAGATCAATATTTCTACAATACACAGCTATTTCACGATCCAACGGGGAGCAATTTGAGAGAGAGTCCAGAAACAAAAGGACGCCAAGTTTTATTACTGATTCAATGTGGGATCCGTTTACCCACCAGATGCTTTAATGCATTTTATAAAGGTTTCCATATGCCGGTCACATTTGATCTCATCGGCGTCGCGGTGCGTGCGCGCTCGGTGCTCTCCCCCCCGACTGTCGCCAAACGCTTTGCGCGCTGCCTCCTCGCTGTGGTCCCCGCCTGGGGATGGAAACAAATTTGCATGCCTATTACTTCTAATTGCATCATGCGCCGCGTCCACAAATGAGAATAAAAACAAGGCGGCTTACCTATGCTGCCGTTCCCCGCAGCGGCAGGCACACGTGAGCTGAAATGGAAGCACAATTTGGGATTCTTAACTTGGCCCGTGTTGAGGGGGGAAACATTCGGAAAGAGGGATTGCATCAGCGTTCAGTTGGGGATCGTTCTGGCGCCGTGCCCTGCTGACACTATAGAGACATGAAACATCTCCCCACACTTGACCTATTCCCCCCCTCATCATAAGCCTATGTTGCTAAACAGATGACTTAACGGTAAGCAAGATGGACGTCAGAGGTTCAGAATACAAGCAATGGAGAAGACATTGTGTGACGGCATGCAGTTTAACCGCAGAAATCCAAATCACGCTGCCATGCAATCCGCACGACACACACACATTTGAAGTCTGTTTACCAATTTATTTGTCTATTTTGTGGCATACTCTGGAGTGAGTATTCAATAAACAGTGAAAACAAATCAAATTTCAAAGGATGAGATACAGCGAAACACTATTAGAGGCTTCTAAAAGCTCCAGTTGATAGCTGTTAACAGAAAGGTAAAATAGTTTTTTTGCTGTGCATTTCTAAGCACCTAGCTGTCAATTGGAATCCAGAAATCTGTCTCTTCGCTTTATGTTTCTGATCCGCGAGAAAAAGATTTTATACAATGTTTTGCTGCTCTGACAAATCACAGAAGGGCTCGTCAAACCCTTCTGTCCAGGATCAAATCGGTTCAATGTGCGCTGTCCTCCAGCTGTACAGTGTTGAAGGTGGATGCTGGGGAAACTATCATTATCTGCTGCCCCGTTTGATGTACCCTGCCAGGCATCCTGAAGACAAAGTGTGTCTGAGCTACACCCTGACGTCTTCTTACTAGTGATATATAGATAAAAGCACAGTTAAAACACAACAGGGGGTCAGTGTAAAAGGTCTTAGCGAGTTCTGGCTCAGTCGTCAGCCGTCATTCTACATCAACTTAAAGTCAAACTGCCTGAAAGCAGTGTTGTTTACATCTGACCTTATCAAAACTTGACATGCTGTGTGCATCAAAAAGGTCTTTCAGCACATTTTCTTATGCAAAATAAAAAATCTGACAAGTTTTTTCTTTGATTTTGATTTGGAGTAATGATCATCATCAGCATCCAAAATGTATGTTTTTGACAGTAGCATGTCCTCATTTCTCAAAATACTTATGCCCGGAGCTGTAACCTCCAGTGACCGTTTGCATAAGGTTTGTTATGTCATCCGAATTCACACCAGAGAAGAGATCAGATATCCGCTGCCTTGTGCTGCCCATGTGACAGGATGCCTAACGAGTCAGAAATCTCTTCAGTGGGCCAATCCAGAGGAGAGGAGCCAAAAATCCCTGCCCATCCAGAAAATATCTGTGATCTGTTTGAGACAGTTAGAGAAAATTGGCAGCGGCTGAACGCATCTTTGGAGCAGCAGTTGCAAAATTAATTTCAAAACCCGACAGGAACAAACCGAAACAGTTATTCCATTGTACAGCAACACAGAGAGGTTTATACCTGATCTCTTGCTGCTCTGTGTCCTTCTGGCTGATGTCTTCCTCAACACCGTAATCCAGAACAGAGCCAACGCCGAAAGCCTGGTTTCTCTGGATCAGCGGCTTGATGTCCCAGTGGTCCTCACCAGCAACAAACTGGCCGTAGAACGTCATCTTCATGACCTGGTCGAAGACCTTCTGACCCAGGATCTTCTTTCCAAGATCCATTATCTGAGCAGATAGGAATAGGATAGCATTACCATATCTGTGGAATGTCACATGTATTAGAAGTGTATCAATTCGCAATAATCCTGTACTTGACTGACAAAACATCTATCTATCCTACATCCCCTCATGCAAACACAGGCCTAAAGACATAAATGTTTTTCTTTTTTATGAAAAGTGGAACTTGCACCCGATCCATTTAAGATTTGAAATATTGAACTGTACGAGTACAAATTCAATCTGACAGTGCCCTTGCATAACACAGTGGAGAGGCTGACTGCAAGCTTGATAAACAGTTTGCAATTTGAGATGTCACTCGACAATAAATCCAATTCAGGTTGCAGGTTTTTGTGTACCTTCGTATTTCCAGTGTTCTCAAATTGACTATTGACTATTAGATTGACTATTATTGCATACATTATGAGAGTTATCAAAGTTCAGAGCTGTATCAAACGTTACATTTTGTCAGTTAACACCAGGCCAGGAAACTATATGGACCTAATAGTGTTGCTATGACGTGTTCATCCAATTTCTAAAGTCTCCCAAACTAAAATGATGCTTCACTGCCTCTCATTACCTCTTCGTTCTTATCAACCAGGAAGTCGTAGGAGCACAGTTTGAAAACGACCAAACTTCTGAGCAGCTCCAGAGAGTCCTTGCTCCTATAAGCCTCTCGTGTTTGCTCAAAGTCGACGGAGATAGTTTTGCTGGCCGCCCGGGCTCCCCCTGCGCCCCCATACTGTCTCCTGTCATGGTCCGCCTCCCGCTCCGGGTGGGCCGCCGAGGTGGACGAAGAGGCGGAGGAGAGGAGTCGTCGGCCAACGTCCGAACTCGCCCTAGTCAGGGCCGGCGCGGTTTTGCTGCAAAACATCAAGTACCGACGACGCAGGTGTCGACGAAGCGGCGGTTCTGTTAGCGAGCCATGTCGTTAGCTAAACACACAGGTCAACCTGTCAGGAGGGCATGACCTGGTTGGTGGAGAGCCTGTGACGTCAGGCTTCGCTTCAGTCGCCGGGAAAACGCTTCGTCGACCACCTGTACGAGGAAGCGTCGATCAGGTGTCACCATGGACACGACTGACTTCCTGAAACCCCGCGTCCTCATTGGAGGATATCAATCTCTGCCTTCCTGTTCCTTGATGCTTCATTACTTATTAACTTAGCTCTCCGCGCGCGACAACGTAAACAAACGGGTCAAACTGTCAGGAGGGCATGACCTGGTTGGTGGAGAGCCTGTGACGTCAGGCTTCGCTTCAGTCGCCGGGATAACGCTTCGTCGACCACCTGTACGAGGAAACGTCAATCAGGTGTCACCATGGAGACGACTAACTTCCTGAAACCCCGCGTCCTCATTGGAGGATATCAATCTCTACCTTCCTGTTCCATGATGCTTCATTATTACTTATCAATTTTGACCTATTGGCCCCATAGCAGACACCATAGTGTCTGATGCGGTAATCCATCATTAGAGTTGCTCACCCTAAAAAACAAAGGATGTGATTCCACAAACTGAGGCCAAAACGGCCAAACTGAACACCCTTAATATGCCGAGTGCCAACATACGAAATAATCTGAGCAAAATTACGTACGTTTTTTTGTGCCTATTTGTTTTGTGCCTATTTGTGTGTGAATGGGTGAATAAGGTGCATTAACTTAAAGCACTTTGTAAAAAGACGCTTTATGGAGTTCAGTCTCCCCAGTAAATTTGGACATTCATAACCAAATTGACAAGATAACTTTTAATGCATTAATACACATTAAGATAAGAACACTGTCCCCATATAAGCACGAAAAAAACAAAATAAAATGACATCCATATCGAGATAGTTCTGTTAATATACTTATTAGGTCTTACTGATCCCATATATCTCAGAGAAAGAAAAAAATGCACAACAAATAAAAACTTGGGTCTCAGGAGGTGTGAAGTTTACAATCGCAATGCAGCCTGCCTCAAGGTTTATTTGAGTAAAACTTCAAGTCCATTATTGTTATTCCTCATATATTGCATCTTTCATGCCCATTTTAATTTCGCAAATCCCTTAAAGACCACTGATTATTTCAGACTGTAATTGAAAATGATGTCTTTTGAGGACGCGCACCTTGCTCAGTTATAGGGGAGTATTACACTGGAGAAGAACCAAGCGAAGGCCCGAGAGTTCTTTTGGCAAAGTTTGCAACACAAATAATCCCATGCTTGAACAATGCCAGAGAAATTGTGGCACTCATCTTCCACAGTAACAGCACTGAAGGTTTACACAGCCGAACGGCGTCAGAAACACTCACTGTAACGTAGCGGTTGTCTAACGTTGAAGGGTTTATGACCAATGAACAAACAGCCGTCTTGCTTTTATCGCCTTTGCTGATTTCTTTGCTGTGAGTAACAAGAGATGCAAGGAGCATGAAATGGCCTCCACTTCTTTTAAAAAGATGGTGGAGTAGATGCAATCACTTATAAAGTACAAATTTGAGATGGCTAACTTATAAAGCAGCAGTAAAGGGTAGTTTTCTACCACTCTTTTGCCTTTCAGGACTGTATATCCATATTTCCCCACACCCCTCTATTTATTGGGCTGTTTCAATAAAATATACATCTAGGTTTTAGGTTTTACTCAGGGTGGAATGCAGCCACACTTTGCCACGTATTGAGTCATACTTTTCCAACCTGGTGTTGAAAACGACAACATGTTTTGTCACTCTTCAGACACCTTTAGATGTAAACATATCCCACAAACAGTGGATTTTTTTTTTTCCAACCATCCTAAGTGGTTTCATTTCAGCCAATGGAAAATCAAGGAGGTTTTTCTGTAAACACCCTTTGGTTGTGAAGTACAACATGATCAACACATTAAAAATCTAGTGGGTCTCATCAGACTTAAGAAGGGGAAAAATCTAAAATAACCCAAAACACTACAGTATTATAAGTTTTACATTAAACATGACATCAGGAAGGACAAAAACAAGCATGAAAAAAATATATATTTCTGTGCTTTTTGCTTCGTTAAAGGGCCTGACATGCTTTTTACTGAATATATTATTCACATCCAAACTGAATCCCTCTCTCTGACTCCATCAAAGGCAGCAAGAAACTTGGGTGTCATGATTGATGACCAGCTGACCTTTAAAGATCACGTTGCCTCTGTTTCTCGATCCTGTCGCTTCGCATTACTAAACATAAGAAAGATCCGGCCGTACCTAACACAACATGCTACCCAGCTCCTGGTGCAGTCTATGGTCATCTCCCGCCTAGACTATTGCAACGCACTCCTGACTGGTCTCCCGGCCTGTACAGTAAAACCTTTACAAATGATCCAGAACGCGGCGGCGCGTCTGGTCTTCAATCTGCCCAAAAAATCTCACGTCACCCCTCTGTTCATTGAACTCCACTGGTTACCTCTGGCTGCCCGTATCAAATTCAAGTCCCTGATGCTAGCCTACAAAGTGCTTAAGGGTACGGCTCCCATCTACTTGAATCCCCTTGCAAAGGCTTATGTCACAACTCGATCACTCCGGTCATCAGTGGACTGTGGTCTAGCAGAGCCTTCACCACGCTTAAGACCATCCAGACTGTTTGCATGTGTCGTTCCAAGATGGTGGAACGACCTACCAAGCTCCACAAGAACAGCAGAGTCCCTGTCTGTTTTCAAGAAACTCTTGAAGACCCACCTCTTCAAAGAGCATCTCCTATCCTAACCCTAACCCGTACCTCTACCCCCCCACAGCTCCTTCTGTAGCCCCTCTACCTCTATCTCTATCTCACCACTGACTCTGATCAGTGTTTCTGTTCTATATAGTTTATTGTCATTGTGATGAGAAATGTAATATTGTGTCTACTCTGTAAGTCGCTTTGGATAAAAGCGTCTGCCAAATGCATAAACATAAACATAAACATATATCGGAGTCTGGTAAAGTTTTTTATTCTACATGTCAGCATCAGTTCATTTCTTCTGACAGAGGGGGGTGCTATTGCCCCACACGTTCTCCAGACACGCTGCTGACCCCTGGGGCCACACAACGGAACACACACTCCCGTCCATCAACAGAAGACAGTCTGGAAGTTTTAAATGAAGTTTCTTATATTTTTTTTAATGAATACAGGCTACAGATTTACCAATGGTGTCTATCATTTTCACCCTTTCATTGATTATTTTGTTTGCTATGATAAATCTAAGATGACACATCAGTACTAGAACATAATAGAGACTTTCTCACAATTTGCTTTTCTGTGGCTTTTATTAACAGCCAAAATGAAACAATACAAATCTTCCCTTTCCATTTTTTATGATCATTATTAGTATTTTACTTATGTATTTATTTGAACCAGAGGCCACAGAAGCACACACACGCAGGAATATGTAAATTTGGTGGCGGAGGCATGGCGCACGGAGCCAAAGATAGAGTAACAAATCAGGAATTTCCCTCTCCTGCCACTCCTGGGCGCGCAGAACAGGACCAGAGTTACGGATTAAGCGCTTCTCCTCTGAAAAAGGAAGTAGACGAAACGGAGATCATCTGCACGACCCCCACCCCACCAACCACCCCCCCCCAAAAAAAGTTTAACAGCTAGTCACACGTCTCCAAACGGACTTTTTGGACATGTATTTTGGCGCATGTTTGATTTTACTGGTGACTCTGGAACCGTGTGCGTTTTGGGGCTTCCTCCGGAGGTCTTTAAGGGAATGAGCCCTACCAGAACATTTACAATGCTGTGACTGATTTTGGAATTGAGTTTGTGGGTTTTTTCTTTTAAAAAAGTTTCGGGAAAAGCCACCGCCTCGGTGGCCGAAGTGGTTGCAGTCAGAATCTTGGAAAAAAAAAAACAAAGAAGACGGATTTAACGGTTCCCTTTTAACGCAGATTGCGTAAAACTGGATCATGTGCATGGGGGAAAGTGGAGCGTAAGGGGGACATGCGGAATAAAAACGGCGTCTAGGAGGATGCTGCCACAATGGAAGTAAAGAACTTTCGTCTCGTTGCTGCGGTGGTTTGTCTTTCCTTCTGCTCCGTTTTCGGCCAAGAACTCAACCCTAAAGGCAGGAATGTTTGCAAAGCGCCTGGGTAAGAGTAACTCCTAAGGAAAAACAGTTTTTTGTCTGTTTTATTTTGTCACCTATATGTTTCCAGCTTGTGCATGTTCTGCCTCAGACTTTTTTTCCCCCCCGGCCAACTCAAAGTGCGTTTTTCCTCATTAAGATTTGAGTTTAAAAAAAAAAAAGTGGCATCGTCTATACTTTATCTTCAAAAGTTTTTTCTTCACGTTTGGAGGGAAAACACTTCTTATTTAGTCATATGGTGGCACTTGTCAAAGCTGACTTTGTTTGCTGTGTTGGCCTCGTGCTCACATTACGGTTCTTGCTCGGAATGGGGAAAAAAAGTCGCTCATAACTTCTTTTAAACGAACTGATTTCTGTAGCTTCTTTATTTTAATCTTTTAAGTGTTTCATAATGTCCACGTTGGACCCCCTTTTCTTGTAAATGCCTTTTGCTCCTCTGCAGCCACAGCAGGAGGAACCCATTGAAATACGCAGCCACACAGATGTGCAGCCTACATCTGGTTAAGCCTTTTTTTTTTTTTTTTGCCCTGTAGGGGGCGCTCCAACTGACTGGGGGCACCGTTTTATAACACATTCACTTTAAAATAGTGCAATTTGATTTTGGAAAGTTTGTAAAAACTTTTTGCTGAAAAAGATAGATACGTTTTATTAATATTCAAGGAATCCATACTTCTAAAGAACTTTATCTGACTGTTTAATTAAAAAAAAAGACGTCCCTGAAGATAATTAAGTAGGCCTCTGCATGTCCAGCTGCTGCAAGGATTTTCATGTTTAAGAAAAAGCATTACAGGTTGACCAGTAGTGGCCAGGATCGTTGGATTCAGAGACTGTATCGGTCAGAGGCACACACAAATAGGTGCCTCTCTTTGGTACATTTGGTCAGTTTGTTTAAATGTCTGCTTTTGCATTGACTGGCTCAACCTAATGTGCAGGCCGTAGGACGGATCCACTTTAAAACGTTGTGTTTCCTGTGTTGTAAGTGTAGTTGGACCCATCTGAAAACAGCTTATAACAAAAAAACAAAATTTTTTTCCAGTTTGCTCAGAATGAAAGTGTTTAAGAATCGTCCTTCCTGCTCTAATTCAGTAGCAAAATCTGATGCTAAATAAATTATTTGCTGATTTAGTGGTACATGCTGTTTCAAACCTTTTTGACTTCTGTTTTGTATGCAGCATTCATTACGGTGACCTCTTCGCTCACCACTGGCTTATTTCTATCCTGCCCACAATGCTTTGACTTTTTTCTTCTATGAATAAAATGAATGGCAGGAAGTACTTCACCTTTTATCAGTTTTTGTCAGCATTTCACGGCGTGTCTGCAGATGAATACGTTTGCTGCTGGGTAGGGGTCCCATACAGTGTAACTCCACTATGACGATACCTTGTAACACTCTTCAAGTTCTTACTCGAAGAGTTTCACGAAAAAAAAACATGTTTTGCAATGGCTATCCTCTGAAAAAAACAGTAACAATTTGTAACGACGTAAGGCTTTGACAGATACACTTTGTTGATTTTAACTAGGTGATGAAAGACACAATGAATGACAGATTAATGACATAAAACTGCAATTACGATGTAATCTCAATCCACTGCAGAGATTCGATGCCTGATCTTTAACACGTGCCTCCCGTGGGAGGATAAAAACACGGCGCACACAGCTCTGGTCGCATTAATCGAAAGCAAACGGCCATCTTCAAAGAATCCGGGGGGAAGCTAACGTGTCTCTGAGGCCTGAAGAGGTCACGGGGCGTGGGAGGAAGAGGAGACAAATCCGTCCTTTCCTGTCGAGCCAGAAGCTGTCTGCAAAAAATACTGTGCTCCGATATTCACGCTCCTTCCCCCCCGGGGGCTGAAAAATCCTGATGAAATGATACGATGATTTAAAAGCGTGCACGTCTTAAACAGGCCGCTGAGCATTTGCATCACGTTTGGCATCAGTGAGAACCCACAGATCAAAAGGAGTGAGCCACCTCTTTGATTTGTGCCCGTTTCACCTCGTTTTAGAGCAGCCTTTTTTTAAATTTTTGCCCCCCCCCTAGGTTATCAGGACTGGTGTGCTGCAGTGGATGGGGGCAGATTGGGGACGAATGCCTGACCCGTAAGTACAGTCGTGCTCGGGATCGTGGATTGGTTGTGTTGTTCAGTTGAACAGAGTGGCCCGTTTTTCACCCCCCCCCCCCCCCCCCCCCCAGCGCTCTGCGAGGGCAACTTCACCTGCAAGGAGAATGAGGTGTGTGTCAGGCCCAATGAGTGTCGCTGTCGCCATGGATACTTTGGAGCCAGCTGTGACACCAGTAAGTCACTTTACACACTCTTTGAAAATATATTTCTATATGCATAGACACACACTCACAATGTACACACACACACACACACACACACATATATATATATCTCCATATATACAGTGGGGGAAAAAAGTATTTGACCCCTTGCTGATTTTGCAGGTTTGCCCACTTACAAAGAATGCAACGATCTATAACTTTAATCATATGTACATTCTAACAGTGAAAGACAGAATCCCAAAGAGAATTCCAGAAAATCACATCATATGAATTTATAAAAATTGATAACCATCTGATGAGGAAAAATAAGCATTCTTTGTAAGTGGGCAAACCTGCAAAATCAGCAAGGGGTCAAATACTTATTTCCCCCACTGTATATATATATATACTCTATATGTATTTTTTGTGTCTATTTTGCACCGACTGGCCACAATAATGGAAACTTTGTCTAAAAGGGCACTCAGCAGCTACTTTTAGTTGCAGAAGGTTAAAATCCGTGGGATCGGTTGTTCCTGCATGACATTTCAATTTTTTACTTGCATGGAGTTATGAACTGACTTTCCTGCTTTACTTAACATTTGTCTTATCTTCTGTAGTTTTTGGGATAATGATATCATTTTATGCCAATTGAATGAAAAATGTCATACGACCCCGTGCTGCCATCAACACATTTTAATAACCACAGAGATCCGTTTTCTGTACTGTCATGCTTTTAATATGACTTCAGAACAACATTTGTTTGAGTTTTTGGGATTTAGCATCAGTGGGCTTGCTAATAAATACTTACGTCTTAGTTTAATTATTTTTGGATAAACATTTTATCATTAAATGCTGGTTTGATTCTTTGGTCGATCATCTTTACATTCTTATTCCCATCAGCCCAGGCAGGCATCTTTTTGAAGACTTTTTACAAAAGGTTTGAGTAACACTAGAAAACAGTTGGTTTGGTTGATGAGAAAAGAAAAGACTTTTCAGTGGGTCAGTGGAAGAGAGGCTTTTTAGTTCCACATGATCTGTGTGTTCTGTATCCATAAAGTTCTTAGCAGTTCTTAGATCTTCTTATAACATATCTCATGTGGAAAAACTAGTAACATTCACAATATAGGTTTAGTTGTTGATATGTTAACATCTTAAAGTAACCCAAAGTACAGGTATGCCCCAAAAATTACAATAATAATTGCAATAAAATTCTTTAAAATTCTTTATAAAGCAAGAAATAAATGACTTCCTGCACACATACAACAATTGTTTACAAATAGAGATGGAAAATATAATCTAAGAGGAAAATTAAATGTCAAAACTAAGGATGTTTGAACAACAAAAAGAACCTTCAGTTTATCAGTTAGCGTTAGAGTGAAGCTCTGGAACAGCTTGCCTGAATATATAAAAAAATTTAATAGCATCCAGCAATTCAAAAAACAATATAAGAAAAGTATTTTTGATGAATACAAAAAAGAATAATACATAAAAAGTTATACTGTTTGTCTTACTGTAATCGTCCTTTACCACCACGACTCATGTAACTGAGGGGTAGGGCTTAATAAGCTTAGGCTTAATCCTACTCCCTTTTGAAACATGATGCATGTTTAGGAAGCATTCTATGTAAACAATGTAAAATCATGTCATGTTTCAAATTAAACAAAATGAAACGCAACAAAATTACAACTGTTTAAAGGTGTTTTATAAGAGTTTTTACATTTCCCGATTGCCTGCCTTCTACCAGAGTGCCCATCCCAGTTCTGGGGGCCGGACTGCAAGGGCAAGTGTCACTGTCACCCCAACGGTCAGTGCGACGACCTGACCGGCGAGTGCACCTGCAACCACAACCGCTGGGGCCCCAACTGCGAGAACGCGTGCCTGTGCCAGAAGGGCAAGTGCGACCAGGGCTCGGGGAAGTGCACGTGCCACCCGGGGGCCTGGGGCCCGCAGTGCAACAACAACTGCTACTGCAGCCTGAACTCGGCCTGCGACCCGATGACCGGCCGGTGCCAGTGCAGCCCCGGCTGGACGGGCAGGAACTGCGCCATCCAGTGCAACTGCAACAGCTCGCCGTGCGACCAGTTCACGGGGCGCTGCCAGTGCCGCGAGAGGCTGTGGGGGCCCCGCTGCGAGCGCTACTGCCAGTGCAACCACGGCAAGTGCAACCAGGCCGACGGCTCGTGCACGTGCACGCCGGGATACCGCGGGAAGTACTGCCGGGAGCCGTGTCCGGCCGGATTCTACGGGCAAAACTGCAGAAACAGGTGAGGAAAAAATTTTTTTTTAAAAAGCCTGGCATTTTCTTTATATGCGTTGGTCATACAAAGAATTGAAATTTTGTTTCTTGCTTTCCCGTGCAGACATAGACATAAATTATATTAATTAGATATAAGAAAATTGTTTGATATAATAAATATAAATATAAATGTATATACTTCACACCATTTACTTTTTTGTTTTTCTGACATCTTTTTTCTGCTAGCCATTAAGACCAAGAATTTTGGTTTTGTGTAGAGGTTCAACAACAAAAAAAAAGTTTTTAAAAAAAAAAAGGAAAAAAGAACATGCTTACTGTTGTGTAATATTTACCTAGCTCCATTTTTGTAGATTCTACAGTCAAAACTGCAGAAACAGGTTAGGAAAAAAAAAAAAAAAGCCTGGCTGAGAGCCATTGTAACTCTTTAAAAAAACATAAAAAATGTACTTTATAGTTTCTTTATCTGATATATGTGACATATATCAGACAGCATAAAAAAAAAAATTGACAGCAGTATTCAATTCAATTCAATCCAATTCAATTAGGCTTTTATTGTCAATTTCTTTACATGCGTTGGTCATACAAAGAATTGAAATTTTGTTTCTTGCATTCCCGTGCAGACATAGACATAAATTAGATTAATTAAAAAAAAAAAAAAAAAAAAAAAAAAAAAAATGGGAAAAAAAGGAAAAAAAAAGGGGATTAATTAGACAGACATGTAATAAGAAAATTGTGTGATATAATAAATATAAATATAAATGAATATAAATGTATATATACTTCACACCATTTACTTTTTTGTTTTTCTGACATCTTTTTTCGGCTAGCCATTAAAGGCCAAGAATTTTGGTTTTGTGCAGAGATTCAACAACAAAAAAAAAGTTTTAAAAAAAAAAAGGAAAAAACAACACGTTGACTGTTGTGTAATATTTACCTAGCTCCATTTTTGTTGATTTTTTTTAACCTATGTGGCTTTTATAGAAAAAAGAAAAAGTCATTGCTATAGGCCTTTAACCTTTACCTTTAACATTTCTGAACACAATCCCTAATGGAGCAAAATAAAGTGAAAAGCTGGTCTTCATGTTATTTCATAATCACAAGGCAACAAGAAAAATGAATGAAGTTGTTGCCTTTAATGGGCTACATCCAAACTGTACAATCCAAAGAAAGTCTCCTTAAACGGCCGCGAGAACAAGCGGAATCAATCGTTAAATCGGGTAACGGTAAATTACGTTCACTCTGTTTTGATCCGATGCCTTTAGATGCGGGCACTGCAAAGGCCAGCAGCCCTGTAAGGTGACGGAGGGGCGCTGCATCACCTGCGACCGCGGCTGGAACGGGACGCGCTGCGACCAGCTCTGCACCAAGGGCTTCTTCGGCGAGAACTGCCAGGAAGTGTGCCCCGCCTGTAAGGACGGCCACCACTGCGACCCCATCCACGGCAAGTGCTCGCACTGTAACCCGGGCTGGATCGGGGACAGGTAAGAAAAAAGACAGAAGAAAAAAAACAAAACAAACCAGATTCACAAACATTTTTCAGCGTGAAATTATTCTTTTTTTACTACCAAAGGCGGCATATGCGTTCAGCTTCCGAATGTGAGCTCTAATCTTGAAAATGACCGTAATCGTTGTATTCCTTCTGTGTGTCGTAGGTGTGAGGTGCGCTGCCCTAACGGCACCTACGGGGAAAACTGCGAGAACAACTGCAGTCACTGTTTTAACGGCGTCTGTCACGGGGCCACCGGAGAGTGCCTGTGCGACCCGGGCTTTTATGGCACTTAGTAAGTCAAAAGACACTTTTATAACCCAAAAAACACATTTGCGACATTGGCATCATCTTTTTTTTTATTCATTTTTTTATTTAATCAGGACAGTGCACATTAATGAACAATCTCATACAGATTGTAAATGAGCCAGATTTTAGCATAGTTGCTAGTTTACATCTGTCGTCCTGAGGCAGGAAGATCAAACAACACAAAATACAAAATCAGTCCAAACACACGTTCAGACATTGACATTACAAAATTAAAATGAATTAAATTCAATTCAATTTCATTTATATAGCGCCACATCACAACAACAGTTGTCTCACAGTGCTTTCCAAACAGAGCAGGTCAGACCCTACTCTGAAGTTAATTACAGAAACCCAACAATTCCCACCATGAGCAAGCACTAGGCGACACAGGCAAGGAAAAACTTCATCGCAAAGGACAGTTCAAATTTTTGATGGCTTTCAAAGAACCTTTGTTACACAGATTGAAGACTTACTGGCAGCAGACACTCTGCTTTGTTAAAATTCTTAGAAACACATAGTGGAAAAAATCATCGGAACGAAGGCCTCATCAGCCTATTTGCTTTCGGTTGTCCCATTTTCCGAACGTGACACAAACATTTTAAACGGTCGCTCAAAGGTTTGGAAATTAGATCTATGGTTTATGGTAACTGTTTTATGAATTTCTAATTATAGATAGATGTAATTGTAAACTGTAATGTAATTTGTAATGTAATCTTTTGCCGCTGTCTTGGTCAGGACTTCCTTTGAAAAAGAGATTGTTAATCTCAATGGGACTTTTCCTGATTAAATAAAGGAAAGAGAGAAATATTGTTTTTTTGTCTCCGCATTTTAGTTGCAACATGACCTGTCAGCCCGGTCAACACGGCATCAACTGCAACCAGACCTGCTCCTGCCACGACAAGAACTGCGACCCGGTGTCGGGCGCCTGCCACCTCCGTGAGAAAAATTTTCACTTTTCTAAGAGTCCGTCTCATCCTTTCGCGGTCAGTTTAGAACTGGAAACTTTTCCTCATTCTGTGACCAAAAAAGAAGATTGACCTCCACGTGATACTGAAAATCCTGAAATACTAAAATCATTCAGTGTTTGTCCACAATGAAAGCAACTTTGTGTGAGCTAGCTAAAAGTCGGTGGGTAGGGACAAAGTTAGGACAGACATATCTATTTTATCTATTCAGGTCAGCGTCTGTAGTGGGAGACTCAGCCTTGATAACATTTCCAGACTAAGCCCGGTGTCCTTTTTATGGCTGTGTTTGTTGGCTCTGCTCCTGTCCAGTTATAACAGAGCAGAAGAAGAGGGAAAAGAACTGAGAAAAGGGATGAAGAAATGGAAAGGACGGAAAGGAATTATGCTACAAAGGCAGATTATTGGAGGCGGGCATGAAAGATAAAGATTTTGGCCGGTGGACATACAGTATAGGGACATTCCCCCCCCCGCCTATCCCCCTTACATCATCTTCATCCAGACAGAATTCTGCGCCCAGACTGCCCAACAATCCATCTCCCAGTTATATGACAGAATAATGATTTAAGGGTCACGTCCCGTAACCCTCTAAAACTAACGGTGAACTTCTCCTCTGGTTGGGTCTCCACCGTTGCAGAATGATGTCCGCACTTATGCAACGCCGCGCTTATTATCTTTGGGGTGTATCCCACTTGAGGTGGGAGGGGTGCTGATAAATCACAGATGACTTACGATGACAGGCGTTTTTAGTAAAGAGGGGCGAGAGGAGGAAGCAGATTGCAGGAAATCTACAATAAAAGAACCAAGTGGGGTTTTTTTGTGTCTCTTTGGGAGGATTTACACAACACCGGGGGGGGCGGGGGGGGCTGGTGTTGTGTAAATCTGAATTAAGAAATCCATCCCCGCTGACAAAAATCATCAATGAGGTACTTTAACAGATTCTCCACACACTTGGCATTGTTACAGTAGTTTAACTCATTGACTGCCAGCCATTTTCAGAGTCGCTCACTGCCAGAGTTTTTTTGAGCATTTTGACTGATTTTTCAAGAGCCACAGAATAGTTTGTGCTATGACTATGTAAACACCGAACACACCAAAAGAAAGAGTAGACTCTCTTCTTTCATCAGGAAAAAAGATTTTGTTTCTACCTTATTCCGTTCTTCCTCGACTTGCGTCTTACTGGCGACATTTCTCTCATAGCGAACCATCGCGTTTTTTTTTTATTTGCCTACAATCTATGCTAATCTCCCATCAAAAGTGGCACAGCTACCTAGAGGGTCAATTTGTTAGTACATACTCTGTCTGGAAGCCGATATTTACGGAAAAACTTTCCGTAAATCGTTCCCCAAGCCACTCGCATTGAAAAACATAAAAGACGTCTATAGACGTCTTTGGCAGCGAATGAGTTAATAATAGATACAGTTAACACAAAATGTTGGGCTTTTCAGAGTTAGCCATGATAAATTCTGTTTTTTCAAATGAATAAAACAAAATTGGCTTTCCTTCACCAATGTGGCACACCCAGTATTCCCTGCGTTTTATCTTTCAGAGCCCAACCAGCGGATGGGTGTGATCGCAGCTGGTTCCCTGGTCTCCTTTTTATTGATCGTCCTCCTGTCTCTGCTGTGCTGCTGCTGCCTCTGTCGACACAAGGACAACCACAAGTGAGGCACAGAACGGAAACTGAGCCCAATTTTCTTTTTTTTTGACGAATGTCAGCTCTTTTGAAATGGATAAAATGTACAAAAACTGCTCTTTTATGCGCCGGCCTCGCTGTGTGAAAACGAGCAGGGCCTTCAAAAAAAAGTCCGTCGTTTTTAAATGATTCATTTCTCTTTCCATGGTGTCATCCCTTTTCAACGCTAACCAAAAAACTCTCCCGACAGCAAAAAGGCCAAGCGGATCCTGTGTGGACGATTCAGCCGAATCAGCACAAAACTTCCCCGTATTCCACTGAGGCGACAGAAACTGCCCAAAGTAGTTGGTAAGCCCCCAAAATCTTTTTTTCTCCCGTCCCACCGCAGCTCTGCTAGAAGCTACACAATCTTAGTCTCTGTTCACACATCATCCAGCTTCAGTATTCCCATAATCGGAATTCTTGGTGACAACTTAAGACTCATTAGTGAGTTCGGACACAAAGATAGCGATGAAATGCAATTGTTGAGCGTATCTTTTATTAATTTATGTTTTTGTTTGTTTATATGCGGCCCTACTCTGTCACATTAATGAAAGAAAGAGTTGAAAAGTGTATGGTGGCTGCCAGGCGAAGAAGATGGGGTTTCATTTGAAAGGAATGCGCTGGTTTTCGGAGCCCGTTATTATTCTTGGCACTCTAAAATTGCCATGTGTTCATATTATTACAACCCTAAACTCCGTCCCTCTCTTTTCCATCACCCTCTACCCTAAGCGTTTCTGGGGTATTTTTGTTTTTTTTCTTGTGTCGAGGAGCAGGGTGTGTTATTAAAATAAGGCAAGTGGTTGTTGAGGGGGGGGGGGGGGGGGTTTTTTGGGGGGGGGGCCCGGTTTCAAAGACGCAGTGTTTGGCGCCACGCGGAGGTCTCGTGGTGTGTGTGTGTGACAGATGTGTGTGTGCGACCGCGGTCTATTCTTTAAACCGAGAGCGAGGATCTCTTTAACCCCAAACAGTTTTGTTTCGCCGGGGCTGTTGACAGCGTGTTTGTAAATGCAAAGCTCATTATCTCAAGGCCTTTAACCAATTCCAGCCTATGGGTTACAGCTCAGCTTGTTCGGTGCAAGACAGAAAGAAAGGGAAAAATAAAAGATAATTGATCTTTCAGTAATAGTAGGTATTAACACACATTCACATTTTTCGATTTTGTGATACAATCTGAATGTACAGTGGGGGAAATAAGTATTCGACCCCTTGCTGATTTTGCAGGTTTGCCCACTTACAAAGAATGTAACGATCTATAAGTTTAATCATATGTACATTCTAACAGTGAAAGACAGAATCCCAAAGAAAATTCCAGAAAATCACATCATATGAATTTCTAAAAATTGATAACCATCTGATGAGGAAAAATAGGTATTCTTTGTAAGTGGGCAAACCTGCAAAATCAGCAAGGGTCAAATACTTATTTCCCCCACTGTATGTTTATTGGTACTTTGGAAATGAAGGTTAGGGTTAGGGTTAGGGTTAGAGTGCCTTCTGCTTTGAGCTTGAGCCCTGCAAAGGACTGCAAACCTATGTTTTCATCAAGTTTTCATCGTCTTTATGGTGTGGAAGGAGCAAAAACACAACGTCCCAATTTCTTCTCAGCGTTCTCAGAGAACCACGGGCCTCATCAGGCAATTATCCAAGCTCCTACTTCCCCGCAATATATCTCGGCTTAGATTAATGAGTCATCACACGGTTTCACAGCAAAATGTGGGAACGCTAGAAAGTGAGATCTGACAGAATTTTACCTGACTTTTAACTGAAAGTTCACATTTGAAAGTTCACATTTCTCTGTGACCAGGCTTAACCCGTTTGTAATGATCGTTGTCGCTTCCTTCCTCCTTCGGTTGTCTAATTTTTTTGCTGTTCTGTTTATTGTTGGGCTGCCCGCAGCAGCAGGATCTGCCAGCATTTCGAATCTAAGTCGGTCTAGAGCTACACAGTCCTGCACACACACACACATTCCAGAGGGGGCCCGGCGGGGTTGGAAACAGGAAGTGGTCAAATTTACCCAAGTTAGTGTCAGAACGGTGATTTATCCACGCCAGGGTCAGCGGCAACACATGTGGCAAGACAAAACTAAAGAGAGAATTGGGGTCGAGTGAATATAAAGGGACAAAGGATAACGTTTACCCCCTAGCATAGTTAGCCCCGAAGCAATAATTGTCACCGTTTACACTCTTGGCAACACTAAGGCTGCTTGCTTGTTTAGCATTCCACACTAAGCGTATTTACTCCACACCCTTTTTGCATTTGCTGTGATCAAATGCTGCCTCTTGAATCAATGCTAAGAGCAGCACCGTCTGCTTTTCTCCCACCTTTATTTATCTTGGGGATGCTAGCTCCGGATTGTAAATATGTTTGCATTAGCAACTAGGGTTGTCAAAAGTATCGATACTTAAAAAATATCGATTCTAAAATGCTGTATCCGGATACGATACTCATTTTCCAAAGTATCGATACCCCCCCCCCGCTGATTAACAAGACGTTAGCCTTGAACTGCTAGCTGCGGCTAATGGCTAATAACAACACGCCAACAGTAATCCGCCCACATCCAATCGGCCATTTTGATTAGGTCACCAAAAGGAAGATCCCAGGCAAGAAAATCCTAATTGCCTCATGGCAATATAGACATTAATTTAAAAATAGTTAAATTAATCTTTCAAACACTTAATTAAACTCTATACATATTATGTTAAAATAGTGTATGTTAAATAGTTTTGTACAATAAGTCCAAACAAGTTTAACCAAAAAAATTATTTATTTCTCACAATTATGAAGGCTGTAGGGTTAGGGTCAGGGTTAGGTTTAGGGTTATTAATGCGGGCCACCAGTCACAATAACATCAGTAACAGGTCAGTTTGAAATGAAAGACACTAACCTGTCAAAATTCAGTTCAATTTTGGGGTCTTTGTTTTTATCCTTGTGGTATCGAAAATGGTGTCGAGTATCGAGTATTTTCCTGAGTATCGGTATCGAGTTGAAAATTTTAGTATCGTGACAACCCTATTAGCAACTGCAAGTGCAGTTTTACATTAGGGAAAAAATAAGGATATATGTATATTGCTTTTGTTATGGCCCCTGCATCCCAGCAGCCAAGGTACAAGCGATCCCAAGCTGGTTATTATTTATTATTACCAATAATTCCACCATTTTAAATCCAGATTTTATAGAGCTGGCTTAGATACTCCAACTGTAGCCCATCTCTTTCACCCTTTTTTTGTCAGGCCCACTAAGCAAATGTGGTATTAGACCTCTGCAGCTGTAATGGATCACAGATACTCTGTTTCTGTAGGCCTTTATGCAGGGGGGGGATCACAGGGGCGTCCAGTCTGCAGTACAAGTCGCCCCTCGAGACCCTCGGTCTCAAAGTAGCAGCTTTCAAGGACAGTTGTTGTTCATCAGTGCGTGGATGTAATCTTGTAAATGTCCAGCTGTTGGTTTGCTGACTGGTATGGATGAGATCCTCGCATAGGTTAGCTGCTCTGGATTCCTCAGTTCCTCAGAGTTTTTTTTATGTCCGTGGACAGCTGCACAGTGAGGAAGCTGCAAAAGGACAGAAATCCAAACAGATCACCCATTGTGTCTCATTTAGACATTTCCTTTCATATTTTTTAGTAATATTATTGTTCATTTAAGTCTATTAAAATAGTTTAGATGTTTAAAACTGTCAATGCTCAGTGGTTCTTCATTTGTATGTTTAGTTAACATCACCAACCATTTCCATTTTGCATCCACTTCAATATGACACACAGAAGACACATTATTCCATTAAATCGAATGATGGATTCCTCTTTATGTAGTTATTCAGGAAAGTGTTTCTTAGTGGTGGTCTATTTCTGATACCTCTTCTGTTCTTGACCTTTTTTAATAACAATAAACAACTTTTAAGAGCGTGCAACGTCTTAAATATCTTACCAGCTGTTCTAAACTTCTTGTTAAAGGTAAACAAAGCCATTTTGTTAAAGCAGACTCAACATGTAGACTCTCCATCTGAAGCAGCTACTAGATGGATTGTCACAGGAAGCAGTGGCATAAACATCAGACTGGGTTCTATTAAAGAAAATCAACTAGTTGTGTTTGGTTTACACTTTTTTTGGCAAAATGGAACTCTAAAAAGCTTTTAGATTTTTGTCTTTTGCTGATGACTCATGGAGACAAAAAATTGGATTGTTGTATTGTTTCATTGTTTTAACTCAGAAGGAAACTTCACCTCTTCCCAGTTTTTCACACCCAAGTTTTGTGAGATTCAGTTCTGGAGTTTTTGCAGAATTTGAACGCCAATATGCAATTTCTGTGCGCAGAAACAAAAGAAGATGCAGAATTTCAAGTGTTCCGTGACATCAGACACACAGACAAACTTTGCTTGAGTTTCAGAGCGTAAATACAACGTCACAGATTTGCAAAAATCCAGCTGTGGCTCTTGTCATTTCAGCACAATGTTTTTCCGACAGTCAAACAACTGCTCAGAGGCCGCGATTGGTTGCAGGGTAAAGGTCTTGGTAGAGTGTGGGGGATTCCTTTCACATGGGGGTTTACATGAGGCATAAAGAAACGCACGGACCCGTGTGTCATCGGCCATGTAAACAGGAGCATCTGATGCGGTCATGTCCAGTCAACGCCCAGTTTAGTTCAGTCCACTCCAGATGGGACGATTAACCCCGAGCGTGCCTCAGAAAAACCACAGCTGTCCTGAGAGCGGAGGGTCAGCAGAACGGGGCAGAGTCTGGTGGGGGGAAGGGCAGAGATAGACAGAGATACAGTGGAAAACAGTGAGAAGAAACTTTATTTGGCCCGCATTATAGTCGAAGAAGGCAAATATGTTAATAAAAGTGGCTATGCAGGACAGCAAAATTCAATTAGGGTGTTAAAAAGCATCACCCAGTAGTTTTTGTGGCTGTTAATAACACATACATATTTGTAATTGTCACCCTTCAGTAAATTGTAGAAGGACATGTAAACTTTTTTTTTCTTTTGTGTGGATTAATGTGCTTGTTGTTTTTAATCAAAGCTCGATTGTGTTTTTATGTAAGCACGGCCACCAATAGCACTACTGTTGATCTCAGAATTTGCTGATACGATATGTCGCATTTCACGTGAATCTTTCCCTCACTAATCACGAAGCTTTTGGGTGAAGTGGAATCCATGCAGCGGTGGAGGTTCACCCGCCACCACCGAAATGTGAAAATAATGAAGAGCTTCGTCGAAAATATCAGTTTTCAACTTTTTAAAAGCCCATAATGTCGAAGCCCGTGTTTGTTCACATAAAAAAAACAAAGATTTCTTCATTCCACTGAGCTCACATAAAACTTGTGCTCTCTATATAAGTCCGACTTCAGATTTGAGTGAGAACAGACTGTTGTTCTTGTAACACAGTCCAAAAAACCCCTCCGAATGACCTCTCGGCTTGTGCATTTGTTTTTCCGTTCTCAGTTGCCCACCACGACCCGGAGAACACCTTCAACTGCAGCTTCATCGAGCCCCCGTCCGTGGCCGAGCAGCCCTCCCCCTCCTCCTGGTCATCCCAAGAGTCCTTCTCCTCGTTTGAGAGCGGGGACGAGGGGCCGGTTTACAGTGTCCCGCACGAAGGTTAGTCATCGCACCAATGTATAAACAGTTTGGTTATCTGGGATGACGCACATAAATCCCCAAATTTATCTTTGGCACAAGGGGCTTTCGCACACGTCATTTGCAGACAGAGGGGCATATGTTTTCTAAAAAGGGTCCGGCCCGCCGGGGTGACCACGCAGTGACTCATGCGTTTCTGCAAATCTCATTACAGAGATAACTGGCTTCTAATCACATGCCATCTAGGTCCAAGGTTTTTTTTTTTTCCCCAAAAAAGGAAAGTATAAACAGGAAATGGAATTGTCTACTCAGCTTTAGGCACTTAACCATACTATGAGTAACTCCTTTAAGCGTTGGGGAAATAACCCGTTCCCCCATCAGTTGCTATTCTAGAAGTATGACATTGTGAACAGTTTTTCTTAATTAATTTATTCTTTTTTACTATTGTTGAATGATATTAGTAAGGCTTTATTTTTCTGGTATATTATTTACCTATTTGGAGATATTCAAAGCATGTATTTTAGTTTAGAAATAAAGCTACCCCCATAGGAAACAATTTCAATTACATTAAAAAGTATATTTATTTATTTATTTATTTATTTATTTATTTTGATTTATTTATTTATTTATTTATTTATTTATTTATTTATTTATTTATTTTCCTCGATTATTATACCACCCATTTAAATATTTCTGGGTAATAGCCCTCATACACCATAAAAAATAAATTGGTAATTAGTAAAATCAGTTTTTTTTTTATCTATCGAACTAAAAATAAACTTTGCTCTTTCTCTATCAATGACCGGCAGAGTCTTTGAGCGAAAGCAAAGAAAAGCCGAGCCCCAGCCCTGTCGCGGAACAGTGCGAGGACGACCAGAGCGAGGAAGCCGCGGGGCAGTACACCACGCTGAAGGACACCTGCGTCCTCCGGCCGGACAAGTCCTCCGACAGCGAGGGCTCCAACAGCGGGTCCGAGTCCACGCCGGCTCTAATCCGGCAGTACGCCTGCATCAACCGCCTCTCCAAGCAGTCCAAGGAGGACGAGGGCAGCGGGAAGGACGGGGACGGGACTCTAACACCGGAAGCCAAACGCAACGGAAAGCCCCCGCCTTCACCCGGAAAGCCCAAGCCCCGCCCGCCGGACCCGTCCACGAAGCCCAAAGTGTCCTGGATCCACGGTAACACGACAGGGCCGGAGCAGCAGGGTGGGTTTAAGGTGCCCGCGTCCTCCAAGGAGAAAAACCGGAGCTCCAGCGAGAGCTCTTCGAGAAGCGAGGAGCGGCAGAAAATGAAGGAAAGGAGTCGGGAGCAGCAGAAAAAACAGGAGGCTAAAGACACGGACGCCAACGGATCCCCGAACAAACACAAACCTCTGCGAGGTAAGAAGTCCGGGGACGATCGCGGCAGCCCGAGTCACATGGAGCACTTCAACGGCGTGGTCCAGAGCGCCCTGAAGAAGATCAGCGGCTTCCACAGCTCCTCGCCGGAGAAGAAAAGCGCCGACAATCCGAAACAGGCCGCCAAGGAGCCGCCCAAGAGCCCCAAAGTCATCCACCCGCACATGAACTCTGAGGCGGCCACGCTGCTAGCCGCTCAGCTCAAGGAGAAAACCCAGAGCATCAACAGAAACGAAGGGACGGGACTGACCAAGACTAACGGTCTGTCCCCAACTAAAGGAGGCCGGGAGAAGCCCACGCCCCCGCAGAAGGCCAAGAGGACGGCCTCAAGTGGACCTAACCAGAACCAGCAGGGCGCCACCAAACCGCTGCTGCCCACGTCCAGCTCCCTCCAGAAAATGGTGGCGCCGGTCGCCGACAGCATGGGCAACCCCGAGTCCAAGAGCCCGGAGAAGCAGGACTTGAACGGCTCCCGGACAGGGGACCTGTCGGACGCCACGCCCAAGAAGACGCCCATAAAAAAGCCGCCCAGGAAGAAAGGCAAGGAGGGTACGTCGGATACGCCCGAAAACAAAACTCCCCAACCAAAGACAGCCATTATGCCTCCACAGGTAGTGAAGTAAGTGTTTTTTTTTCATTTGTTTTTGTTGTTGTTTTTTTTACAACAGATTGCACACAGTTCGGAATAGATTCTACAGACCAAAGACCAGATTAAAATCTACGTTACAAGTATTCCCGCCACATCATTTTTTTGTCATTAAAATGTCTGCTTTGACTCCAGGACCAGTCAAGAGAAATAAACTTTGAAACCAGGGGTGCAATCACATCACAACGGTGAGGTGCATTATAATACTTCTCCATATGGGATTGTATTAAGCTTCTAGATTTGTTGTTTGTTGTTGTTGTTGTGTGTAACCATGATGTATCAACCTCACTCCACTAAGCCGGACCCAACTGTGGCTCAAAGACATTGTCCCAATTTCATTGATTTCATCTCCATTCTCCAGCAGTGTGTCCACCACTATGTTTAAACATGGATTGCGAAAACTGAACTTTAAAATGCAGGTTTCAGGAAAAAAAAGAAGCTATTATCATGTACGCTCTCCACAGGTACTAGAGGTTTAAACAATCGATTGGAAGCCGCTCTTTTATTTGTCCATTCATACTCTCCTGCGCCAAGATCCATTTCTATAACAAAGCAGCTCTGTGCTAAGTCATTTTCTCATAAAACTTCCCGTTCTCAGATGTTTTCCAGATATGAAGTATTAATAGCCATAAAGACAAAAAAAATTTTTAAAGCTACAGTGAGATCTTTCATAGATCTTTCAAAACATAGGAAGAGATGGGAACAGGAAAAGCACTTTTTTCATACCTCAACTTCGAAATAACAAGCGATATCATTCCACATCATTCCAGTCATTAATCCCACTCATCTGCTTTCCGCCATTTTTTCTAAATGTTCAAATGTTTTTCATAAAAAAAGAGGAAACAACTAAATGGCCTTTGGCTCGACACATTTTTTCCTCATTTTACTGAAGGATGACTATAAATATGCTAATCTGTCCCCACCCACTCTTCATGTCTTGTTAGCTTACACTAAAAAGCCAGGCTTACTAACCAACAACCATTTAACCATAACCAGTTACAACGAGCATAGACAGTTAAATGAATTGAATAATTGAATCTCTTAATCTTGCTACTAATGCTGCCTGATTTGCGCTAGCCTCTCCTCTTATTTTGCACTAACCTTTTTGTTTAATCTGTTCAGCAAAGCACGTGCAAATTGACCGTGAAGGTTTGCTTCATCCAGTCTTTGATGCGGAACATAAAGGCTGTCTGATTTCACCCTTCTGAAACCTGTAGTTGCTTCTCTCCAGATTGAATGGCAAAATCTTCGGCTATAACATGGATGGCGAATTGACCTTACATGTCCTGTGACTCCGAAAATCAACATTTTAAGAAGTTTTTAAAACTTAATTTGCATTTGGATTCCTCCAATTGTCTGTTTTAGCTCTCTACTACAGACAAATATTGCATTTTTGGGGCTTTACATCTTGTCCTTTAGTTAAAAAGCTCTGTTAGAAATGGTTTGTTGAGTCACAAAACTTTAATCTTTTTGCATAAAGGACTTTTTCTAACCTTTTTTTTAATTATCCATCTGCAGATAACCAGAATGTGCTCTTACTGTAAGTTTTATACAGTCAGCAAAACCACTAAACCCAAAATTATTCTCCAATCTCTGTTCCCGTTGCTTTATGACATTATCATGAATCACTTTAAAAACACTAGCTTTCTCTATATTTTAAGGAACATTTGCAGTTTAATTCATAAAGCGCACTGCAATACTATCTCCTCTGTTCATTTGAGTGTGAAAACAGTCACTATAAGCACATTTTTTTACCGATCATATTAGAGACATATTATATCGTGGACCTATTTGCTTTTCCACTAAAGCCAAGACATTAGGTCATTTTCACCTTTGGGTTATTCTCACTTCTCACAGATGCCTTCAGGATATTGTGTGAAAAGGAAACATCTCATCAGACGTATTTCATTCCTCAACGATTACTTTATCTGAAGCAAGGAGATGCTAAATTAAATAGGATGATTTTGCTTCCTTGCTTTTTGGTAAAACTGAGACGAAATGGTACTTTGCCTTGTGTGTAAGATGTGCCTCAACTGTGGATCAGTTTAAGCAAAAGAAGGTATGTTCGCCTAATCGTACAGCTTTTTATTTCTGTGGTTAATTCTACTCAACTGAGTAAATCTGAAACTGCTTTTGGGTGAGCTGCATGGAAATAAAAAAGTAAGCAGAAAGTCACGTTACTCTGCCACCGTTTGAGCGTCTACATCGAGGTACAACACATTTCTTAGGTTAATTTTTTTTTTCAAACATTTTTACTTGTATACATTGTGTACTTTTTTTTATTATCTTTGTAAGCTGTGCTTATATGAACTTTTAGGTTCCTCTTGTTTTTTCTTTTGTGTCAATGAACTGGCTTTCATGTTGTATTTGCTTTTTTTTCATCGTCTTTTTTTTCTTTTTTCTTACCTTGGGCTCTATGAGTACGTTTCTTCTGTAAAGTTTACAGCGGCTTTGTAATGAATCTCTGTTGATGTTATTGTTTATGTAACACTTAACTGCATGACGCAGAGTGTAATTATACGGCATTACGGCTGCAGAAGAAATCTGTAACCTTTGAGCTCCCTCCATTTTTTTCATATTTTCTTTTCATGAAAAAAAAAAAAGAATAAACCACACATAAACGACTGTACAAAACTACCATACTTCCATATAGCCAAAATCCATTGTATGCCGACGAGGTTGATTTTTTTTTTGTCTGACTGGCCCTTTACTGGCTCTTAGAGGTTTGTAGAACATTTTCATAAAGAAGGGCCTGAAAAGCTGCAAAGACGTCACCCATTTGTAACGTTTTTTTTTAAGTGTGTGAGTACAACTTTGATTGCAAACGTGTACGGTTGTAAAACTGATGTTTCTTCATTTACTTCTTTGGAATAAAAAGAGCAATACATGTAAGCCATTGTGAAAGCAGAACTAACAGTACAAAACATCCTCTTTTGAACTCTTTTGAATCTGGGTCCTGAAGCCTCTTTGACTCCTTTTCCCAGTTTTTCCGATTCTATCGTCCATTAACTTAACATCTTCTGAAATCGCGAACGATGGTCGAGTTGATATTCAGCTCTTTCCTGAAACGGTGGGTAGCAGAAATGCTACTTCAAAGGGCCGGCGGGAACCAGGGGGACTGTTGATTTGGCCGCTCCAGGACGGGGTTGGGACAAGAGCCTCTTTCATTTCAAGTAAAACAGTAGAAACTTTGTGCTAAGGAGTTAATCACGCGCTGCATATGTGTCCTCTTTCAAAAGGGGAAGTGAGGGTCACAGCAAAAAACTGGGCCACAAGGCAATGAGGGAGGATGAATGGATGGATGCACAAGTCATGTGATAGGTATTTGGAGCTATAAGGGGAAGTAGCTTTGTTTCTTTTTCTACTCTTTGACATTAACATATACGGTATGTAATGCATACAAAAGGTATTACATTGTCAAGACTATACATGGTCCACATTTATCGTCAACCTTTGGACCCATTGTAGGGATATCTCATTTTTCTGATTACAGTTTTCAACCAAGACAACCAACTTTACATTTCTTTATTCTCCAGGAAAAATCTCGATCGGCTCATAATTGAATACAAGATCAATGTGGACTCACTTCTTAAAAAAAGAAGGATATGGTAAAGATCGCCTTTGTTTTTAACATTTTTCAACATTTAAGTCACCACACGTGACATAGAAAGCTAATTTATTAATTTCTACTCTGCCAGAGCAAAACAAAAATGGATCATCATGATCATTTGAGTTGATACGTTAATGGAGTCTGAATAAAAAAATGTGTTTATTTTTATTTAGACTCGTATCCGTTCCATTCTGAGTACCTCTAGTAGTGATACATGTGTGCCCTTTATGATAACAAGCTTCACTGAAGTTAACAGATGCTAATATCAAATCCTAATTGGCATGCTAACCACTCAATTTGCATTAAACAAGTTTAATATCAATCTACATCTCTGCTGTGGTGAGTTTGTATGCTAATATTAGCAAGTTTTGCATACCACTTCACACAGGTCACTGTTTATTCATTATAAGACTACGATATGAAAAATCTTAGGCACTTTTTCTTGTTTTGACCCCCTTTGGACCCCAGGTTGTAAGCCTGACTCAGCTATAATACCAGGAATTCTCCTAATCAGTTTTAACTTTAAATCTCTGTCTCTCTTTTTTTTTTTCTTCGTGATAACTTGTCAGCAAAAATCCCCGTACGGGAATCTGCGCGCGCTTTCCAGTCCCACTTTTTCATGTGACATCTTGAAGTCAGATTTATATCCAGAATGAGGAGGAATGTTGACACAACTGCCTCCATCTGCCTGTCCCCGGCCCGCAGATGGAGAAGCCTCTGTGAGCAACACATGTTCTTTAGCTTTTCATCCCCGACATGTTGCGGTAAGGCCGCAGATTGGAAATATTCTTTGCGTGTCACCGCCGCACAGCTTTGCCGGGTAAACTGTGTTGCTTAGCATTTGTCGTACTTTTGATGGATTTCTGTTTCCGCTCTTTGTGAATTGACTCGACTAAGACTAAGTTATACTGTCATTTTCAGTTAACGGAGAGAATGATCCTGTCTTTCTTTGTCTTATTGAGTCGGTTTTGAGTATTTGAAGGCAAAAAGGAAGCGTAGGATTGTTCTTTTTGAACAGAAAGTCTGTGTAAAGTCTTTTGGGAATGCTTCTAAGTGACATTGCTGCCAGTCTAAACAGGACTGGGAGCAGAATAACACCCGTGTGCCATGTCTTTAGGAGCAGCGAGGCTGTAAAACTCAGGCCCAATGAGCGGAGCCAAAAAAGCCCTGGACATAGAGAAAAAAAAAAAAAAAAAAGTATTCCAGTCCTTGCGTTTCCACGGCAACAGGAACAGATTGGAACCACATCTGGTAGCCATTTCAGTCCCTGCAAGGAGAGGAAGAAAGAAATTTATGAGTGAGGGGGAAAAAGACAAATATTTTCTGCAATGCAAAGCAGAAAGAAAGTGGAGTCGAGTTACACTCGAAAGTGACTGAAAATATTAATTCAACCGTGGACGGAGAAAAAAATGCTTTTGTTTTTTTGTTTTTTTGT